GTCAAGTGTTTGGTCTGAGGCCGTATTTGAACTCAGGTCCTTCTGAGTGTTCTGCCTGCTAGCTGCCTGGGTGTCCTGGACACGTTCTCTGATATTCCTGGGCCAAGCACCTCTGGGATCACTCTCATATTGCCCGGAGATTTGAAATTAACGTGGCCCTGCCCAAAACCCAGGGAATGAGCTGAGGGGCAGGGCAGGGCCCACTGCATTGCAGACCCACAATTACACGGGCAAACTGGAGCCCAGTGATCCCCACGGGTACCAGTAATGCATAGTTCCCTTTGCCAATGCAGGTATTGGCTGATTAGGAAGGCCCGGAGTTCATGGTTACTAAAGAAAATAAATGCCACAGTACAAAGTCCAGTTATTGAATATACTTGTTAAAAAAAAAAAAGTACATACACACACACACACACACACACACACACACACAGGAGAATGTGTGTCAGAATGTGGTGGGTGGATCCATCAGCAATACTTTAGTGTTCAGGTGTAGAAATCCAACTATCACAGATATCAGAAAGAGCTAATGTGTTACCCTAAGCTGCTCTTTTTTTACAGATTACTTAAAGCCCCTCTTATAAAAATCATGACATTTTTATTTTTTATTTTTTAAATNTCCCCATTTTGCAGATGAGGAAACCAAAGCTGGAATGTTAAGAGACTTGTCCAAAGTCACATAGATGGAAAGGGTGTCAGAGGGCAGCATTCAAATCCAAGTCTGCCTGACTCTAAGCCTCTACCTAACGACCTGCTTTGTACAATTTCAGTCTTTGAAAATGAAGGCAGGCACATGTAAAGCACTTGGAATGGATGCACTGTTTTTTCTCCTTTTTAGCCCTGGATTCCCATTTCAGCCTCTGCCTGCACTGTTTCTTTGTTTTTCTCCCTTCTCCAGGTTGTTTGGCTGGGGCTAAACGTTTTCCTGTTTGTGCACGCTTTCCTGACGTTTGAGAAGTCCGACAAATACTACTACACCAGAGAACTCATTGGGGTAAATGGCAAGATCCCAGGGGAGGGCCCAAGGGCTGTGGCCTCCAAGGCTCGAAGGCATCTAGATACCTCACCGAAAGGCCAGGCGACCACTCAGTCGGGGGTTCTTTGGCTGGGCCAACTCCTGTGTTCCCCCTGCTCTAATTGCTGCAGAACTCTGCCTGAATAGTACAATCCCACTGGACCTCATAGGGGACTCATCCATGTCTATGTGGAATGTAAGCACTTTGAGGGCAGGGGCAATTCCACGGGGGTCTGTGTATCTCCAGCACCAGGAACGGTCCCTCACGTATCTTTCCATGTTTCAAGGATCTGGAATTTTGTCTGTCAATTAATCAGTAAACACTGATGAAACACCCTCTATGCAACGCCTTTCTGGCTTGGTATATATCATATATTTTGAGCTAGAAGGGACCTTAGCAATTATTTGACCCACTCCCCTCATTTTACAGATGAGGAAAGTGAGGCCCAGAGAGGGGAAGATATTGCCCTAGCTCTCACAGGTAGTAAGTGGCAGGGCCAGGATTTGAACTCAGATCCTCTGACTCTCAATCTGGAGCTCTTTCCACCAGTCAGTCAGTCAGCCAATAAGCATTTATTAAGTGCCTACTACGCATCAGGCACTGTGCTAAACCCCATCGTCAATTCCTGTGGATGAAAAATTCTTCCACCTCCAGATGAACTCCTCTGCTGATCTGGCTGTTACTGAGCCTCTACGGTCACTCACTCAGTCAATGAACCAGCATTTATTAAGCACTTACTATGTGCTAGGCACTGTGCTAAGTTCGAGGGATACAGAAAAAAGACAAAAAACAAGGTCCTGCCCTCGAGGAGCTTGTATTCTAATGGAGAGACAACAAGCAAATAATTAGCCACATATCAGATACCTAAAGTAGACCGAAGGTAATCTTAGAGGGCAAGGTTCTAGCCGCTGGGGGTTGGAGGGAGCTTGGAATGGCTTCCTGAAGAAAGTGGAATTTGAACCGAGTTTTGAAGGAAGTCATGAAGACTAGGAGGCAGAGGACATTCCAGGCCTGGGGGATAGTTTGTGCAAAGATACTATGATATTAAAAAAATACGTATTAATTAAATTAATTAATTTAAAAAGACATAAAGGTATTAAGAGATGGAGTGTCGTGTGAGGACATTTGACATGTAGTCCAATGGCACTAGCTCATGTGGTGCATGGTGAGGAGTAAGGCGTTGGAAGACAGGAAAGGTAGGAGGGGGGCTGGTTAGGAAGACTTTTATTTATTTTTGAATAGTTTTTAAATTTTCAGTT